ATATCTTACAACAAAGTGTAAACTGAAAGATGCGATGCTACTGGCTAAGTGAATCTTTCTAAGAATTGAACCAATGTGCGCGAATCGAATCAACTCACAATTACAACCTCCATACAAAGTATGGTGTTCCTAAAACGCTTGATGATCGCATAGATACACTTACACAGATTTGACGAACAGTAGCAAGCAATTATTTCATGGTGCGAATATTGTGATAACCAGAAGAATATCCAACGAAGACCTACCGTTAGTGGCAGCCATGGATTCTATTGCAGCTTCTAGCTCTTGCAATTCCGGCTCAGCATAACGTGGAGGAGGTGGTACCCGTCTTGTGGTACCCAATCCCATTGCAGGCGTCTTTTTTGATGGAGACGACGGCACCCTAAAAAAACACGCTCATCCACTGGAAAAAAATGAAATCATACAGCGTGATAGCAAAAATACTGAAGCCAGGATAAAGTAATTAACTGCAAAGTAGCATGACGAGATAAGTGGATCTACTAGCGTCAAAAAGAGATTGGCTAAGTATTACTTGCCTAATTTTTACCCTTCAGTAAACATGAAGACTTCAACTAACGAAAACAAACACATAACTGATGGCGGATTGAATCTATTAGCCAATAACTTGCCCTCATACGCGAGGGATCTTGCAGCTCATGGGAAAACTACCACCATCTCCAGTTTCATGAATTTCACAGAAGTGCATAGCCACGAGTAGCCCTTGTACGCGGTACCAGCTCAATAAACACACATTATGCTAAAAAAAATCACCTGGGTGAAGGAAGTCCCCTTGCTGGCGAAGAAGGAGCACGAGGTAAGCGACTTTTCTCAGCTGGAAAACTGCTAGATGTTGCTAGTCTTGTCCGAGATGACAGCGTACCAGCAGACATCGCGGGAGCAGCCGATGATGATCCACCAATGGACGATCCGGCGGACGTCGCCATCCGATTAGCTACCACCAACGATCCTCCAGTGTCGGTCAACTGTGGGAGATGCTGGAATTAGAGAAGTAGATCACAAATACTTAACCTCAGACTAAAAACATTCAGAGATTATCACATATCACAGATCCAAAGCACCACAACGAGCGAGTGTTTACCACAAAAAACTGTAAACTAACTGTTGCAGGCTTGTCAAACGTCAGCTTCGTTGATGAGATCAGGTTCTTACGCAGCATCAATAAGTCCGCCTCTTGGCCCTTCACAACCTCCTTCAGGCTTAGATTTTCGGCCTGAAACATGAAGCATTAAGCTAACCACGACATTCACGTGAAAAAAAGAACCAAGGGAAAAATAGTTAGTTGAAACAAATTAGAGAAAATCAAAATGGCGAGACATGTTCACGGACTTAATCATGATAACTCAATAGACAAAAATAAAGCAGCGCTTGAAGCGTTTTGCCTGAACCTTTTTTCGAGAACTAGAAAATTTGCGAATCAATACATGGGTGTGGCTCGAGCTTATGTTTAAGCACAGAGATAGAAAAAAAAGAAAACGCAACAACTTTAGGAGTACTTATTTGCATTTTTCCGCGCATCGCGTTCTTGCTTCGTAAACAGCCGACTTTCCTTCTTGAGTTTCTTAGCAACGCTTGATCCTGTCCGCCAGTGCTCCGGCGTCATTAGACGCTGAGAAAGGTCGGTAAAAAATTAATTGTCGTGCGAAAGAATTTTCTCGCTGGAACAAGTTATTAACAGCAACTACATTAAAAAACTCCACTCATCAAAGATTGATAACGAGAGTAAAGCACAGCTTCTCACCATTTGATTCAGATTTAACCCGTAATTCGTGCATCTTCACTAACATCTGTTTGCGCTCATTGATGAGGAACAATACCATAGATTTGTGTCGTTCTCGTTCTGCCTCAAGTTTTCGCTCCACTCTCTCCGTTTCTGCTTTACTCTCAGCCACCTCGTTGATTTGGATCTCCAACTGCAATTTGAAAGAAATTAATGTATTTTCGCTCGTTGAGAATAGTAGCATCAAGACAAGAATATTTAGTTCAATTCCGATCTGATAAGGCTGAATGTAGTTGAGCATTTAGGCATGAGAGGGCATTTGCCGATCAAGGATGTACAAGGTAAAAGGATAATTGGGTAAAGTACCAAAAGCCTACCCCTTCCTATCCCCCCCCCCCCCCACGGCTGTTGTAGGGGAGAATGAACGAAATTCAGCAAGCCGTGAGGAGCTACAGAATGCTTTTAACCCTTTGACGACCGCCGTTATGAATGCGTCACTTCACTTCTTTCTAAATTTTTTCATCAATAATCATTAACTCTCCAACAATTTCACTATTAGTAATTAGCGCATTATTCCGCGAATTCGATAATGTATTTGTGTAGTTTTGAAACGTAAAAAATGCCAAAATAAACTCCTAAAAACGTGTCGCCACCGAGCGAAAGTGTGGCCCACCGGCGGGCCACACGGTCGTCAAAGGGTTAAATTTGATGGGGTTATTCTGACCCCACTGCACAAATCAGCAATATACAGGATTTCGGGGCACTCCAATCAGCCCGAGCGACATACAAGGGGTACCTCTCCGATTTGGAAGCTGTCAGGGTGACCTCTGCAGATTTGAAGATGTTCAGTGATGAAGTGTGCAAGGAGGCGTTTTTATCGGATCGATATTTCTTTCCTTAGAAGAACTAGTAGGGGAAGGAGGAAACAATACTTCACCAAAAATAGGAAACTATAAAACAAATGAAAATAGCGCAAATGATGCGGTTAGACGTTAACACTGCAATGTACTTTTTTGTGAGTAGTCCATCCTCCAAATACAACTACGTGTATGCAGGGCAATTTACGAAATCACTATGATGCAATGAGAAAAGAAGAATAAATATACCTGTTGGGTAAGTTTTTCTCGCTCTCTCTCAAGAAGTGCAAGAACATCATCTCCCTGCGCAGCGTATCTACTCTTCCGTTCCTTTTCCAACTCGAGCTCCCGTAGAGCTTTAAAATGGCGCTTTTCAGCTGCAGCCAGCAACTAAATAATGGTGGTTGAAAGATCTGAACTGGATGATCATGAAAATGTTCTCTTTATCGGTGGCAGCGCTCTCCAGACTTTCTTAATCGTCAACAAAAAAGTGTTGCTGAAGCGAAAACGAATGGCAGTCGAAGAACCACTTACGCTTTTTGCTCTCAGGTGGCTTCGCCGTTGTACAGCAATAAGTTTTTCTAGCTGCACGAGCTGTGACTCATAAAGTTGACCAATTTGATGTTCGTCTAACTCCTCCTCGGTCACCGCAGAATCACGTCGTAACGCACACATCGGATCGTTTCCACCAAGCTTCCCATACTTGGCATCGAACAGAAGAAACTTTGTGCGTTCATTCTTAAAAAATAGAAATAATAAAGAGCTTCGTCCTGCCACGCATGGCTAAGGCAAAGGCAAGAGAGAGAGAACGGCGCCTGGCTCAGCTCCAAATCCAAAAGAGAAAGGTGGAAGCCGAGAGTGCCTTGGAGGGGAAGGGACTCTGGGTGGGTGAACCAAACACAGTGTGGCAAAATTTTGAAAGATCGCAGTAGAGCCCATCAATATTTGAATGGATTCAAGACAAGTGAAGTGAACCATTGACTCATATAGTGCAAAACCGAGCGTCACAAGAGAAATAGCCTCACAGCAAAAAGCATGAGCTACTACCAACATCATTGATTTACCACTCTAATGTAGACATATGCGTGCCCGATTAAAAAAAATAACCACAGACCCAAACATTCAGGGCATTTTTTTTCAATTCGGTCACTGTTGACGTGCCGTCCATCCGCCACAAGATCACAATTTTTTCCGTACCATCAAAAACCCTAGCTATGTCAGTCCCAATAGGAAAACTATGTCAATATCCTCATGCCAGCCTACTTGATGTGGTCGTTTCGTAATTGCATGCAGAGCCGCATTTCGAAATAATTCGCCCAGTTCTTGTAACGTCAAGACGTTAGATGTAACTAGATGTGCGCACATCAGGTATCACAAATATGATCGCAATTCAATGGCTACGATCAGATAAGTTTGAGGACATTCTAAACCAAAAAAAAAAACTCGGGCGAGAAATCAGCGAGGAGGAAAGTAGTGTGGAAAAACCGCTACTACGCAAGCTCCCAGATGTGGTTGCTAACTATAGCAATGCGCCTCGGGGGGTTGGGTCATACTTCGCAGTTCGACTGGATAATAAAAGTGCGACCGGTCACACAATCGCATGGTCAATACGTATATGAAGAAAATGCAGGAGCGTAAAATCGCATAATCGCAAAGAACGATCCGACCCATGAGTGCACATGGAATAAGAACAGGAAAGATATTCGAAAAGGAAAGAATATATGGAAACAAGTGGAAGACAAATGAAGCAAAACTCACACGTAAACGTGCGACAACTTCATCGCGAGCTTGTAATTCTCCTTCAAAATATGATAGAAGTTTAAGAAGTTCCTCTCTGGTGAAATCGTCCGGATCGTTAGAGACCTCGGCATTCTGATGTGTCGGTATGTGCTTTGACGTAACCTGATGATAGTCGCCATCGAAATTGAAGCCAAGATTCATCGCTACGCGTGTGCGCCGAACATCGCCCCCGACCGGCCGATTTTCACTGAAATACTCATGAATATTCAACGAATTCGCGTGTCCACCACAAAATTCAAGTACAGCAACTTAATATGCATGAACAAGATGAAAAACATCCTAAACAAGGTGCAATAAACGAGCAAAGGTCTCCCATCAAAAGTGTGCCCATAATAGGAGCATTTCAAGGCCCACAATGCGGAAGAATTGCGGCTGAGGCGCACCAAAAGGCGATCGGAAGTATTGCACTACAGTTTTATCAGCGGTTTCTTAAGAAAGCTTGCCTTTAGCTAAGGCATATTACTGATAGAAAGACCTCGTAAATGTTAGCAGGTAAGCAGTTAGAAGTTCTGAAAGAAGTTTTTCCAAATATTAGGTGTTTCAGAAAGTTCTGTCGTTTTCTGACACTCCACATTTGGATGCTTCATTTTACTTGAAATCTAGAGAAACTGCCATCGGTATGGATACCATCTTGAAGAGCTTTCCTGCTCTATCCAACGTTTAGCTCAGCTTTGTTCTAAAACATTTTCTTATAACTTTTCAAGAGCTTTGAATGCGGTATACTCGATGAGCAAGTTGGCATGACTTTCTTTTTCTAGCTTTAAATAGACCTGAAAGTAGCGGGAACAGTTCAAGATATTAACGATGCACTTGGCCTAGATTCGCAATAAATGTGCTCAGAAGCAGTAGTTCAAAAAGTTATTGTAACGAAAGCGAGAGCCTTGATATGATAAGAGTAGTGGTCGGATATCGGACGTTGTCTCCGATTAGCCAAAAGTTCTGGTTGAGCACTCGTGTGTGGGACCATAGGAGATACATTCTGCTTGCCCTACCTGGGACGTATATGGTTTGTGGAGCCAAGCTATACGGAAGTAGTTGGAAAGTCCAAAAAATTTGATAGGGGCGTGCCGCGACAAATCACCAATTTGAAAGGTCGTCCATCAAATTGTAGCTTGTTTTATGTGATGTAAGCGACTCGTTTTTCTACAGATTTGCGACGTACAATGAAGAGCGGATTCTTTTCTACAGCCCACGAAGCTTTGCTGAATAGCTCGACGGCGATCAAGCTCTACAAACTTTGCAAAACTTAAACTGTGCTGAAGGAGGGTTATGGCAACTTTCATCAGGTCAGCGGCTGGCCAAGTTCCCCCGTATCAGGTGGAACTGTTACAGTGGAGAACTCTTAACATTATGTCAAAATTCACCAAAATCTTCAAAATACGGGTTCAGCATTTCTCATTATAAAGGGACGGACACATCTCTGACAGTTGTCCTACACGCATGTCGCACAACCAACCCTGCACAAGTTGGTCCAGCTAGGCTAAGAAGGGGTGCTGCAGATATCTACTCAGTATACCTCTGGCTATCAACTATCACTTTTTTTGGGGCCTCGATAGTTCCCTTGAAGAGAAATGCTTCAAAACACAACCCGATGCTAAAACGACCTTCCCTCAGTTCACCGCCTCCAGGGCTCCAGCATTCTGAACAAACGTAACCACTGAAACTTCTTATAGCGGAAGGTTAGCGCATTCAAACGATTTTTATTTCAACCGGAAAGGTTTGGTTTAAGCCGAGATACATGCATTTGAAATTCGGGGTCAAACGACAGAACTTTCTGAAACGCCTAATATTTGGACGTTTTAGAAATCAACTTCGGATAATAGAAATGCAAGGCTGACGGCTGGAAGTGAACATCTTGAAAAAGTAACACGTGAGTGACACTCTGCTTAAATAGGAATGTCCGGAATCTCTACAGC